CTTCACGTGTTGGTAGGTTTACTGAAGTAATGTAATCCTTGTTAGTTAGTGTTGGTAGGTTTACTGAAGTAGTGAAGAAACATAAGTATTACAGATGTTTCTTCACTACTTCAGTAAACCTACCAACACTAACAATTCTTAGTGTTGGGGTTTACTGAAGTAGTGAAGGAGCATCTGTAATACGTATTACAGATGTTTCTTCACTAATTCAGTAAACCCCAACACTAACAAGTATTACAGATGTTTCTTCACTACTTCCGTAAACCCCAACACTAAGAAGGATTACAGATGTTTCTATGAAGACAAACCACATTTCTTACAACCATTGACCTGTAAATTGATTATAAAATTAACATTTCTGTCACATATGAAACTGTTGGAACAAAATGATTTTATCAAAAGAAATCAATTGGTAAGAAATTATGATGCAGTAGTTTTGAAATGGCTATTATAAAAGCAAAAATAAATCACTTGCATTTTTTACAAGAAAAACCATAAAAAGTCGACTTGTGTTATATTAAACATATTAACTAATTCCTTGCATGATTTCAGATGTAGTTTAAAATCGTTTAGCAAGTTAAGTTCTAAATTTTGACACAAAAGGTACATATTAAATATAAATCCAGCCTCTATTTCATGTATTCATTCCTTAGCTACATAGTATGTTTTAACCAACCAACTTCCACAAGCCCACCTACATTAATCCTCCTTACGTTAAGCTCCTACAGAGCCACATAATAAATATAAATCTACTTTCTACTGATGTGTTTATACTTTAGCCATGCATGCTTTAACCAACCCACTTCTATAAGCATACTTACTTACATTAAGCCTACTTACCCTAATGCTATTCTACACACATATATTAAATATAAATCCAGCCTCTATTGCACGTATTCATTCCTTAGCTACATAGTATGTTTTAACCAACCAACTTCTACAAGCCCACCTACATTAATCCTCCTTGCGTTAAGCTACTGTACAGGTACACATTAAATATAAATCCAGCCTCTATTGCATGTATTCATTCCTTAGCTACATAGTATGTTTTAACCAACCAACTTCTACAATCCCACCTACATTAATCCTCCTTATGTTAAGCTCCTACAGAGCCACATAATAAATATAAATCTACTTTCTACTGATGTGTTTATACTTTAGCCATGCATATTTTAACCAACCCACTTCTATAAGCATACTTACTTACATTAAGCCTACTTACCCTAATGCTATTCTACACACATATTAAATATAAATCCAGTTTCTATTGCATGTGTTCATTCTTTAGTTATGGAATGCTTTGCAGAACCTACTTATCCTTAAGCTATTACAAAGCATTATTAATAATTATATAGAAACCTACTGTAATGACAACAACTAGAGGTGTGGTAATACAAACAATCATGTATATCAGTTATTGCTTAGTGTTGTGCCATCATTTTAAAGTGTGTAAATCAAGAGAGTGAATGCTGAACTGAGGTGTTCCAAATTACATATTTTCTTATTTTTTTTTATTTTAATACAGGCATTCTTAAATCTAGTTTGCTTTACTTGTAAATGATGAATCATATATTTATTAAATGTAAAAAAATGTTTCAATATATTTTGCATTTCCCATATTTGTCTGGCAAATTACAGGAAAAGGACAAACAGAACTTAGTTTAACACAAAACTATAATGGGAAATAGTCCTAGTCACTAACACAGAAAAGGAATAATCACAACTAGCCCTAATCACTAATAATAACTAGAATGGTAAAAACTGCTGTTAATTACTGACACAATATTGGATTAGGAATAACTAGCCCTAGTCATTAACACAGAAAAGTAATAATCACAACTAGCCCTAATCACTAATAATAACTAGAATGGTAAAAACTGCTGTTAATTACTGACACAAAACTGGATTGGAAATAACTAATCCTAGTTACCAACAGAAATCTGGAATCAGAAAGGCTGATCAAAACAAAACTGAAATGAATAAACACTAACAAAGAGCTCAAATAAAAAAAGTCACTGTAGTCACAATAACCAAAAAAAAGTTTCAGGTTTTTAAGAGTGCTTAAAATTGAAGTATGAAACTAATACTGATTTATTTCTGATCATCTTTGGCAAAATGTTACAAAAAAGCATTTTTTGTACTAAGGTTGTGTTACAAACTTCACACAGTTTTTTACAGTATTTATAATCAAAGGACTATGCCATTGGCACAAGTCCACTGGCTCACTTTTTACCTATGTGAGTGAGGTTTGGAAGGGATTTCTGGCTTCTTTCCATCACTGGCATCACTATCCACAACTGGAGTTGAAGAACGAGAAGTATCTTTGGATTTCATCTGAAATTTAACCATTCGATCATTTAGAAAAAAATAAAATCTATGAAAAAAAAAAGAAACTACCAGGGAGGTTTTTACTGTTAGACATCTTACCTTGAATATTAAGCTATGACTACATTTCGAGACACTTGCATGTCCCATCATGACAATGATCTATAAAGCAGGATCTACAGAAAATCAGCTCACACCAACAGCTACACATCAGATCATCCACTATCAATAAAAAAAATTATCGTATTCTGTGTGAAATAAAACTACATTAAAAGCAGACATACACCTGAAGACTACCTTTAAAAAACTATGGATACCCAACAAACATCAAATGGGTTAGATGGAAGAACAGAACAACCAAGAAACTACCAATAAAATTGTGCTTTGGAATCATTCTATGATTCATACAAAAGCTCAGCTACAGTATTCAAAAAATCTGTATGAAATATAAAATTCAAGTCAGCACGCATCTTTCACAGCATACTAACCAACATTAAACATTAGACAAACTAACAAAGGGTTTAGTTTATAAAATAACATGCATCATAGAAGGAAGATTTATAGGCGAGACAGACAGACACTTGGGAGAATGTTTGAAAAAACATAATGACTAATAAAAACAAACACTGCAAAACATGCAAAAAACTAGAACATTTCACACACTGGAATAAAATACTGAGTGAGTAACACAGAGAGAATAACTGAAAAACAAGGAAAGGAAGTATTACATATTAGAAAACACAAACTAACACCCAACACAAGCAGAAATAAACATATTGTGGATTAGCAGAAACCTAACCAATCTAAAATCAGAATCCCTGTCAACAAGAAAGGTAGCAAAGCTTCACAAAGCTGTCTAGAACCTACTTCACCAACAAGTTATTAATCCATAATAAAGACATGACATATCTCTGTTAAAAATATCCAGCATGTGCAAGGTATTAATTCAGAACAAAGATGTGACATATCTTTGTTAAAAATGTCAAGTATGTACAAGTTATTAATTCAGAATAAAGATGTGACATATCTCTGTTAAAAATGTCAAGTATGTACAAGTTATTAATACAGAATAAAAATGTGAAATATCTCTGTTAAAAATATGATGTATAAGTTATTAATCAGAGTAAGGACGACATATCTTTGTTAAAAATGTCAAGTATATATAAGTTATTAATTCAGAATAAAGATGTGACATATCTTTGTTAAAAATGTCAAGTACGTACAAGTTATAAATACAGAATAAAAATGTGAAATATCTCTGTTAAAAATATGAAGTATGTATAAGTTATTAGCTCAGAATAAAGATGTGACATATCTGTTAAAAATGTCAAGTATGTACAAGTTATAAATACAGAATAAAAATGTGAAATATCTCTGTTAAAAATATGATGTATGTATAAGTTATTAGCTCAGAATAAAGACATATGTAAATATAAAACGTTTTTAATTATTTATTACAATTTAAAAAATCAAAGACATGACATATCTTTGTTAAAAATATGAAGTATGTATAAGTTATTAGCTCAGAATAAAGATGTGACATATTTCTGTTAAAAATATGAAGTATTTATAAGTTATTAATTCTGAATAAAGATGTATTTTTTTGTTTAACTGAATGTGCAAGGGGTTGGTCTAATTAATGTTGACTATAGTTCTAAATGTATCCTCACAAAATGTGGCAAGCTTTTAGTCAACAGTACATGTATGCTGTACAAAAACAAAATTATGTGTGGTACAAAAGTTTTTATACAAACGATATGTCTGTTAAAGTTAGTCTGACTTTGAAAGGTCAAAGTGCAAAGTGACGTTCATGTGAAAAATAAAACACCTTTGTCTTTTGTACTGTTTGAAAATTGCATTTGCTTAACCTCTACAACTTCTTAAATGTATATCTAAAGGGTTTTTCAGTATCCCTGTATATTGTATCTGGTTTATTCACTACTGAAACATAAACAGTTGTGAAATTAGCAATATAGGGTAATGTGAAATGTTGAAACTAAGTGCATAATACCATGTTGAATGGCACTCTGTACAATGTCAAGGAATGCAAATTTCTACTCCCATCCACGCACATAGGGTTAAAATGTCAGGTACATACAAGTTATTAGCTCAGAGTAAGGACAATGTATATCTTTCTTTAAAACATCATGTATGTATAAGTTATTAGCCCAAACAAGAAACATGGCATATCTTTGTTAAAAGTGTCAAACATGTACAAGTTCTCAATTCAGAATAAAAACAACGTATCTCTGTTTAATACTTCAAGACAGTCTAAGTTATTAGTTCAGAATAAAGACAATGTATCTCTGTTTAATACTTCAAGTATGTCCAAGTCAAGTTATTAGTTAAGAATAAAGATAACGTATCTCTGTTTAATACTCCAAGTATGTCCAAGTTATTAGCTCAGAATAGAGACATGACATATCAGTTTGTTAAGCATCATACTTGTTTGCAATATAGATAAAATTAAATAAATTTAAGAAGGTAGAATAGAAATTCTATTAAAAGTGTAACTACAAATCTCTTTGAAACTGTCAACCATGCATGATGCTCAAAAACATTTTTCAGTGCAGTGAGGCTATTGAATAAAGAACCTACTTAAAAAAATAATGCAAATTTTGATACAAAAATAGTTTAAAACTAGTTTAACAAGTGGAGTCATCACAAGAATTATTATGAACCATGAGGTTCCACAACATAATACCTTGTATTTCCTTTTTAAGTTTGAGTGTGTCTGTAAAGTGTAATATGGATTATATAATTTTCAAATTACTTATTTACAGGGGGTGTAAAAAGTACTAAAATATGTTACTCAAATACAAGTAAAAGTATCCATCCTGAAATTTACTTAAGTCAGAGTAAAAAAGTATCTACTTAATAGAAACTCAAGTAAAAAAAAAAGTAAAAAGTACACTCATTTGAAGTTCTCTAAAGCCTTACATGTATGTTGTGGGTCGTGAGGTCTAGAAACAAAACCCTGTATGGAAAAAATTTACCAAACCACGTAAATTACCAGTGAATAGCAGTGACGTAAGATTTGTCATTGTTTTAATTATCTAGAACAAATTTGTTGTATATAATTGATTACTATGGTATTCACAACTACATTCAGGGTTTCAGCCAACTCATACAGGCAAGTAATGTCAATAATGAATATTATACAAATCTTATTGTTTCAGAATAAACTATATAAGGAATTAAAAAAAAACAAGTATATGAATTCAACCAACTACATTATGTACAAACTTTTTTATTCAGTTTGAGAAGCAACTGGTTTTCAAAGTTACCACAGTGAAGCCTTGCATGCAGAGGGCTGAAAATCTGCCCAGCAAAACTGACGAGATGCTCGCAGGCAGCAGAGGCAGGAAGTGGTGTGTTCAAATGTATGGCTATATCAGGTAGGGTGGGGAAAGACTTGAAAATTTCCCTGCCATTAACAGAGCATGCCAATTATGTCTCTAGATCCCTCTTCCCAAAGCTATGCTGTGGCTTCAGACCCGAGGAGAAGAACTCCTTGTTGTCATGTTTGAAGGTGACTTTATGTAAGCACTCATGTTCACCAGCTTCAGGAGACACAGTATACATTGTAAGGACACAGAGTTTTCACAATGTGGTTAAATATCAACAGTTTATGAAGATATGGCTAAGTTTTGCCATTATCTCCAAAAGAAATGACATCAGAGTCAGACATTCTGCACATACAAGCTACCACAGAAAAAAGAGCAATGCTTGCGACATGGCAAGATGCTAGGGGCATAGCAAGCCCACTGATGTCACGCGATTGGCTGATTTAAGTAGATACTGAAAAAAGTTCACTTATTTCATTACCTTATTTATAAAGCCATTAAAAATGTTTTAATCAAAAATCATAGAAAATGGCATGCTAATAATGTAACAACTTCCAAATTAGTTTTATCACACAAGTACCATATAATATGTGAAATGCATTTTTGAAGAGATGAGTCACTTAACATAAACACACTAAATCTTAATAGTTACTGAAACTTAAATACAAACCTTTGTAACTTGAACTTCAAAAATAAGAGTGCTATTAGGTGGAATTTTGTTGTCCGTAGCTGTAGATCCATACCCAAGAGATGGTGGAATTATAAGTAACCGTCTACCATTTTTTTTAGAGCCAATCAGGCCTTCTTCCAGTCCCTATATTAAATCATTTATGTGAAAATAAATTTTTGATACCACATTATTAAGTTACTTTTCAGTTAGTATATATCAATCAATTAGTAAAATTCTTCCCTGTATTCAGAATTGATAAAAAAAAAGACCTTATTAAAATAGCTTTAAATTTAAAAGGCATTTTGTGGTGTGCTAAAATTATTTAAGTACTTTATATATGTATATATAAATATTTAGTTTCTGACACACCTTGATAACTTTGCTCTTTCCCAGTTTTATCCTCATCAATTTTTCAGAGTTGCTACTACTATGAAACACCTGATAAAAAGAAAATAAACATGTAAGACAAACAAATTATTTTATAAAATCTTTTTTTTTTGTATAAAGAAGATAAATTTATACAAAATCATGTTTAACAGCACTTCAAAATTTTGCAGTTGTGTATAACTAATTAAAAAATGTTTTAACCCGATACTTGCCATGGCCATTTTGTCTTATTGTGAGGGCAAAATCATTTGTGAATTGAAAAAATG